TGGTACCAGGAAAGTTTACATTCCTGTAAACTGCATGGTATTGAGTTTTACTAGGCCACCTACCCTGCTGTCTTCAATTATAAAACCTCTGGGTGCCCTGATGATGTAATTGATTTCAGGATGAGCTGTGCTTTTCAGGAAGCCGGAGCTGCCAAATATCTGTCTTGGCCTTTGCTCGAACTGTGCGAGAGAAGTCCCTGCATTATTAAGCATTTCTTGGATTTATTGTTTGTTGTGATTCTGGTTGCTTCAGGGAGTATTCCTGAACGGCTTTTAAAAGATAGCAAGTAGGCAATTACATGCTGATTTGCTTTGTGGGAAAGCTGGCACAAAGCAGAGGTGGAACCTCTGCCCAAATGGGCTCTTTTCACACTCACTTAGAAAACCTGGTGATCTGGATTTCCTCCTCTGATTTTATCATTTCATTATGAAAATGTGGGAGACCCACACCTCAAAATGTTCACCTACTCTGGAGGTAGTGTTTTGCTACCACCAGTGCAGTCTTCCTACATGTGTCCCATGCCTGCACTCGTGCAGGAATGAATGCGTGTGTGTGTGTGTGTGTGTGTGTGTGTGTGTGTGTTTTGGCATGGGGAACCACACTGCACGGGTCGGGGTGGAGCAGGTGATAGGGAGTGGTTTCCATGAGCAGCGGGATGTTTGGCAGCCTGGTGTGGTTGGCAAATGAATGGAAACCTGACCTGTAAATGACACAAGGCAGATGTTTAAAATGGGTATAAAACAGTTGTAACAGTAATTTCTTTGATTGTCCTAGCTGAAGACAAAATAAAGAGTTTTGACTGATCTTAAGGTTCTCTGTGCAAAGTTCAATGTAACTTTAGATGTGTTTGCAAGCTGCAGTTTTACATGTAAAATGCTACTGCACTTTACATCCTGCGTGTCACTGCGTGCACGATGACATGTAGCAAACGTCCTCATCCAGGTCTTGTTTGCAGTTCATTTGATTTTAATAGATAAGCTGTGTGTTGTTCTTCACCTGCACCAGACATGAGATATTTTACTAGTTACCTTCCCTTAAGCAAGTAGCCTCAGTAAGGTACTCTGGAAAACCATATTGTTCTTGTAAAGCTTTGATGCATTGAGCATAACCCATACGTTTGTGCCACTCCATTCCACAGGTCGATCCGATGGGTGGACATCTGGATTACCAAGTGTTGTGGTTTGAGCCTGGTCGGCAACCAACCCCCGCAGCTGGTCACCCCTCCTTCCCCCTCCCCACCTGGGAATGGGCGAGGGGATTAGAGGGGTGAAGGGAGACTCGCAGGCTGAGATAGGAACAGTTTAATAATGGCAATAAAATGAGAACAATAACGATGATGGGGGGAAAACAAAAAGAAATATATAAACAGGCAATGCACAGCGTAATTGCTCACCACCCGCTGACCAATATCCAGCCCGTTCCCGGCCAGCGACCCCGAGATACCAAGATCCCACAATTGCAATCCCAAAAGCGAGAGAGAGAGAGAGCTCCTTCCCCACCACCCCTCCTCTATACAGTGAGCATGACATTCCATGATATGGAATATTTCACTGGCCAGTTTGAGTCTGGTGCTCTGGCCGTGCTCCCTCCCTGTTTCTTCCGCACAGGCAGGACATGAGGAATCGGAGAGTCCTTGAAGTCTTGGTAGCGGCTGAAAACACCAGTGTGCTATCAGCATTTTTCCCATACCAAACCCAAAGCTAAATCCAAAACACAGCACTCATCTAGTCCCTGAAAAGGAATATTAACTCTATTTCAGCCCAAACCAAGACACCCAGCAATGAACCATGTTATCTTTCGTGGTTTCCAGATAGACTTAAGGACAGCAGCTTTCTCAAAATGGAAAAGCTTTGCTGCTTATTTGATGTATCATGGAAACAAACATTTCTTAACCGAAGCTGCAAAGTAGCAAAAGCATTTGGAGGAAGGATCAGAAAGTTCAGGGCTCTGAACTCTGTTGCTTCACCTGTTCCCAGTTACCCATTGCTTTCAGTCTGGTTCCTTCTTTCTTGCTGCCCATCTGCTCTCTAGCATGGAGTGGTGATTTGCAGTTGGTGTTGATGCAGGGGTTTGTTTTTTTCCTGGAAATGTTACTGCTCCACAATGTAAACTGTGAGTAGCCTGCCAGGATTTTCTGAGATGCTTTCAGAAGGCCTGCTCTGCTGTGGTCAGAGCTACCCTGCAATTCGGTGGAGCACTTCAAATTAACGTTGACTTGCAGATAAACTCATGCCTTGAAACTGTGATTGGTATCTTGCATGGTGTTATGCTTGCTGCAAGGAAGGTGCGAGATGTAGGCATTTTATTTACTTGTAGGCAGACAAAAAAAGTAAAAATCAAGACGTTTAAGGAGTGCGCATTCCTGCACTGTACTGCCAAGGATGAAAGAGCAAGTACTGCCTTCCATCTATATTTTCGGGCTTTAATTTTCTCCTGGGCCAGGCTTGAGATGGAAGAGAGAGATGGTAATAATGAGGGTTGCCCTATGCTCTCTGGTGGTCTCCAGACCTAGGTTAGTGTTTCCAAGGCCTTGAAGCACTGACGTCCTTTCCTGAGCCTCAGCAGCCTAAAATGAAGTTTACCCTTCTTGCCGAAGGGCTACCTTCACAAATAGCATGTTGTCCCTAGCAGCTGTTCCAGCTGGAGCATCTTTGATGCAAACTTGGTCTGTTAAAAGCCAGATTCCCCACTGAGCGTGGCAAAGCAGCGGAGTCTGCATGTCCCCACCTCCCCACAGGTGCTGCCCCCCCCAAACTCGTAGCTTGCCTGACCAGGGGTGGCTGTTCTGGAGGGTGGCAAACACGTGGCCCGGAGATGACTGCCGCCTCATGAGTTTTAAGTCACTGTTGCGAGGTGATGCAGTTTTTCAAGGATGAAGTTGGCAGACTTCTTGACACTGATAAAAGTGCTCTTCTGTCTCTAATTGAAGTCTTGGAGGAAAAAGCTGAACTGTTCTGGATGATCTTTTCTCAGAACAATTTCACCTAAAGCAAATATTTGTAATGGAAAATTTCTGCCCAAAGTGTTGTAGTTAGTTAAAAGTACAAACGAGTGAAAACAGGTTCTTGAAAAGAGTCAGGCAGCGTGATTAATAGAGGGCTCTCCTCCCTCCACCCATAAAAATATAAACAAAATACAACCTAACACTGCTGTTCCCACTGCAAATCATGAGGGGTCTGAGTTTCATAAAAGGTTCCAGTAGGGAACAAAAGACCGGGGTTTGATCCAAATGCTATTAAAGTCACTGAGAGTCTTTCCTTTTGGCTCCAGTGGGCTTTGGAGCAGGGCCATGGTGAACACTTGAAGGCCAACCTGACCTTTCATGGAGAGAGAAAGCTGAAGGCTTAGTTTCATCGCAGTTGTACTTGCTGGAGCCTGATTAAAATCAGTGGGAGCTCAAAAAACTTCACACTTTGCAGAGTTCAGCCCTTGAAGACTAGTCTGACATTTAAGTCAGATTTGGTGCTTAAATGTCAACATTTGTAAATAAGGAGACACCAAAGACTGAAAGTCATCTGGCTTGCTTTACAATGTATGGTTTGGTTCCTAAGTTTTAGGCATGACACTTAAAGTTGTCTGAAGAGCAGTTATTTTGCAGAGAGCACCCAGATGTACTTCTTTCTTCTTGTTAAATGCCGCCTCTGTTTCTTGCTGGCTTTGCCCCTGGTTCTTTTGTCTGCAGTGTAATCTTTTCTCCATCTTGCCATGGTGACCAGGCTTGCAAACTTCCTACTATAGAAAATTTGAACAAAAAGCCAGATATTAAAGACTCTTGGCAGCCTTACGAAGTGCTGCAATCTTGTTTTTTGAAGACTTGAAGGGTGGAAGCAATCAGATGATAGACTGCCTTGAGGAATTTGGAGACAAAATAAGATGCATTTTATATGCTAGATGTTCACGGGAGAAACATATGATGCATGCATGCTTGGAAAGGTAACTTGTGTACAGGTGTTGTGATTCATGCTGCAGTTTTTGTAAATCATTTAAATAGAGTATCCTGGTACTGATTGTATGTTACACAGAGGAACCTGCAAATATTTTCTTTCTGAATTTATTTTGTTTACTTGATATTTATAACTTCTTAAAAGCCTTTGTCATTTTTTTCAATAATTTTCTAGCTCCTGTGTGCTTAAAATATTCCTGTTGTCTATTCTGTATTTCCTTTTTGTTTTTCATCACTTTATTACAATGACAAAGCCTCTGTAAGGTTCAATAGAAATGGAATTATCATTGAATTAATGTCACAGGTACGGCACCATTTGTTATATTAAGAAAGCTCCTTAGAATTTGGCAAGTGCTTCTACTCTATATTAAAACAAATGTGTCGTTTTGGCTGCAGATACCATTTAATTTTACTCATTGAGAAACAGGAAGGCTTTTATGAACGCTCCTACAACAATAAGCCACCTGTGTGTTTGTCTCTATGCAGTTAATTATCATAAGACCTTGTCAGCAGACTTGTAATGAAACTTAAGCATGCAGAATACACTTCAAAAAAAAAAAAAAAAGCTTAAAATAAGTTCACTTCTACTAGACAGTTATTTCCATCTCTAGAGACTGAGCAGAGAGTTGGGAACAAGGAGTTTTTGCATTTTAATCATGGCCTAAAATTGAATTGCTCTGTTTGGATGACCTTTTAAAAATGTGTCTTGGTGTAGTCTTCTGGGAGACTGAAGACAACAATCTTAGTAACACACACCTGGGGGTTTTCTGAGGATTAAGGAGTTAATTGATGCTTTAAAAAAAAAAAAAAAAAATCAAAACCAAACCAAACCAGATTTTGATGGGGAAACTGCAATATATTGTAGTGTGTATTATTTGAAGTGGTCTCAGTATTTCATTTAAGTCATGTGGGAAGAGCTCTGAAGAGTAAGAGTGATGTCATTACTGCATGTTAGTTTAGGGTGGTTAGACAATGTACAGCTTTTTTTTTTCCAGTTTGAAAAAGGAGTTATATGTTGAAGTACTTTGAAACAATATTTGTTTTCATATATTTCAGCTACCTGACTGCAAATAACAACCAGAATTTCTTGTATACTGCAAGGCCTTTTTTGAAGAGAGCTGCATTGGTGATAAGCTATGTAAGTACGAATGGACTTGACCATGTGTTTCTTTGTATGTAACAAGAATGAACACTGAGTGGTGGTATCCCAAAAGACTTGGAAAGCTTCAATGGTAGTAAGTTAGTCTTGGAAAATAAGCTAGAAAACTTCAGCTGGGCAGAGAAAATAATATTGCTGTGTTTTCAGTTCAGATTCTCTTTTAATTTGTAGTGGTTATCCTTACAACTGTGTAATCGTCTGCAGGTATTTCCTGCCATAAATACAGGGGTCCTCTGGTGCTGGGCTGAGTTTTCAGTAGCATGCTGTTACTTTCAGTGCAGAGCTCAATAAGGGTCACAAGAAAAGCTTTGCCTGCAAATACCTGCTGCTTGGCGTGCTCCAAGCAGGACTTGGCACGTTGCAGGGGAGAAAACAAGCACCTCCACGGGGTTGTGCTGGATGTGCAACTCCCTGTGCTGCTCTAGGAGCCGGATCCCCTTGCTTGTCCCTTGACAAGTGGTTCCCAGAAAGGTGGAGCGCCAGCCCGCAGAAGTCCTTCCAGGAATTAGGATTACACAGCACGAGAAACACCGATGGAGCTTGCCCTTACGCCTATGCCAGCATGAGTGAACAATAATAGTTTTTAAGACATCAGCCATGTTTTTACCCTCTGTATTTAGGTAGAGGTCAATAGCAAAGCTCTGCAGTCTGAGCCGCAGCAGGGTGACGGATTTGTCCTTCAAAATGCGGCCTTCGTTGTGAGTAGCTGAGATATGCCAGTTGCTGTCAGTAACGCACACATGAAAAGGGGGGGAAGCACAACAAGGTAGCGTGCTGAATGTGGCGAGGGTTGGCACGTTGGTCACACTGCATAGGGTGGCAAAATTGAATTTTGCCTAAACCGCTGAGCTGACTAACTTCTAGGCGCGGAGTAGAGCATGGAGAGCTATCACGATAAAATATTTGCTGGAGGCCTTAGTTATTCTTAGTAGCGCATTGCTAACCAAGATGTTCTTCTTCTTCGAAGGTGATTCTCGTGTTGTATTTCCGCCTCTGGATAATGGGAGGATCCATGCCGATGTTTTCAGAGCAGGACAATCCAGCTTCATTCTCACCGTATTTACTGACGAGGTACAATGCAACTAATCAAATGAAAGTTTTCAAAAGTGTAGTCTTGGTGTTATTTTTTCCCTGCACTTAAATGGTTTACAGATGGCAAATGAGAAGACTTGTTTTGTTGTCTTAACTTAATTACTTCTCCTTATTGCTCTGTCTAGAATGGAAAGCAACCAGCATTATTTGAACCCCAAAGCACGCTTCAGACCTGTAGAGTTATATTACAGATGCTTTTTTACTGAAAAATGTCGGCTTATTTTTATGCAAAGCCCAAAGAATATAGTTAAAGTTCCTGAGCACAGGACTGGAAAGCCCAGTGACTGGAACTTAATCCTAAACCTTAAAACTGGCTGCTCCTCAGGTATGGGGTGCAAGCATTCAGAGTTTTGGCTTCACCTGAAGTTTGTATAAAAAGGGGGTGACTATGCCTGTTGGTGAAATATTGGTGGCTGATCAGTGAAGGTGGAAGGCAGAACCCCAGTGTCACATGGTAGTGCACAGCTCTGGCCAAGCATAGGATGGGCTGCCGTGGATTAATTAAAAGCAATGAATCTGAAATTTGTGTTAATAGATTTTTATTATTTTATCACTTTTTTTTTTTTTTAAGATACATAAATGCTTAAATGTGGTAATTTTTTTTTTTTTTCACTTGCCTGGGACCCAGTGTATGGTTAGGTGGGCTGATACCACATCTCTCTGACTGCTGGGCCAGACCAGCAAGGCAGTGGCAGCTGCAACTTAGCTCTTCCCTCCAGACCTGACCAGACCAGTGCTCCAAGAAGGTGGTAGGAAGTTGATTGCCTCTTAAGACAGGGCCATATGCATAACTGTTTGCTCTGGTTAGCTACTGAACTGGGGAAAGACACTTTGGAGGCTTCTGGAGGAATTTCCTGATGTCTCGAATGAAAATGAGAACGGTCCTCCTCTGTGTCACTTTCTGCCCTTGCCGGCTCCTCATTCCAACAGTAGAATTGCAGCTGAGACACAGGTTAAGATCAAGAAATCCTTATTCAACATCTGCTGTAGACTCGGACTGGATCTCATTTGGGAGACCTTTATGATAATGTGACAACAGCTCCTATTACCATCAAGGCTGAAAGCGCTTCCAGGAAGCACGATGTCTGATTTGGAAAGCTCTGATCTGTTCGCAGCATTTCTGGCAGAGTCATTACTACCAGACTCTGTGCGGCACAGCGTGAAGGATTTGCTGCTGTCCCTTTTTGATATGTTTATGCTGAGATGGGGGTCATCAAGTCATAAATGATCCTGGCCTGATTCCAGTTGCATATTCTGTGCTGCAAATGTCTTTCGTGTGTTTGTGTCTTTACATCTTATAACGACAGGGGAAGGCTTTTTAAACCCAAAAGCTAAGGCTTTCTTGGGGTATGAAACAGTGACTATTTTTACCACCAGCACTGTGGATTTTATTAACAGCCGTATGAAAAACAAGTGAGTGCTGCTGGCTGAGGTCCTCACTGGCCCCAGCAGCAGCCCTGGCTTCACCTGCAGTCCAGCAACACCTACCTGCTCCAAACAGAATTAAGGAAACCCTTGCCAGTAAAAAACAGTATTACTGTTCTGGAGGGATTCTAAAACCCTGTAGTTATCCCAGCTCACCCACTTCTGCTGAGCTTGATCTTAATCCTTACTTTAGCCAGTTTACCTAGAAGCTTCTATCTTCTGTCCAGAAAACTCATCTTTTTGGCAAGCCTGGATGCCAGCCATTACGTGTCTTTCTAATATGCAGAACTAAATTTAGCTGGTCGTTCCTTCCCTGCTGATCTAGCACCAGCCTCCCGTGGCTGATGCTCAGGCGTGGGTCCTGACGATGGAAGCTGTGAAGTTGCTGAATTCTGGTCAGGGTCCAGTCAGGAGATGGGACTGGAGACAAGCCTGCAACATTGGCCCAAAGTCCATCTAGGAGACAAACTACCTACAGCAGAGGTCCAAGGTCCATCCAGGAGACAGGGCTGAGCTGTCTAGAGCTCAGCTGAGGATCCTAGAGCAACGGACATCAGGTGTGTGTCCAGATGAGGCTCATCAGGGTGCTGACAGCCTGTACCTGCCATGGATCATCATGTTGCTGACCTTCTGTGAATAGTGCCTGTCCTTGCTCTCTGGGCACTGTATGATCTAGAAAGAAGCTGAGTCCTGAGCTTCTGTTGACCTTAACCATAGTCTCCTGGCATGAGCCTTCATCTTAGATGTGAGATACCTGCAGATATGTTTATAAATTTTTCTCTGTGATTTTTGTTTCTCTGAACTCAAACCTTAAGGTGACTACTGCCTTGAACTTGAAACCAAACAACCTGAAAGAGGCCAAAACCCATCTATCCTGATCCCATGTACCACCTAAGCCTGCAGGATCCACCTGCCAGCACGTTAGGCTTGATCAGCAACACCTCCTTTCCTGAACCCAGACCCTAACCCTTCACTTCAAAATAATCAGTGACCCACTGGCTGCCTCAGAGCTAGCTAATAGGCTCAGCTGTGCTGCTGGCAGTAATCTTCATGTTAGACCTGTGGGGTCCACCCACAAGCAAGAAATTGGAGATGAAAGCTGTCTTTTTTATTGCTGTATGTTAGCAGCCTTGCAGAGCTGTGGGAAGACTAATTGGTCAATGTAGATGATACCTTAGGGTAAGTTGCAGGACAGCAGGAGTGGCAAATTTTTGCCGAATGTGTGATTGGTCAGTCCTGCAAGGTAGAGAGGGATCCGGTGACTGTCTCTGAACTGTCAGCCCGTGATGCACCCACTGACCACAGCTCTTATCTTGGCAACAAACCTTTTCCTTCCTCACCTCCTCTTTCAGACTCAAACTATAACTCTCACTTGGGACTTTGTCTTACTGTGGTCAGAGCTGAAGCTGTTGCTTCAGAACTGACGTTGGGCCAGTGATGATGAGTGTGGGACTGGGATGTCAGATGGAGCCAGCAAGGTTGAGTGACATTGTCCTGGTTTGCAGGAAGATCTGTGTGGCCAGCGGGAAGGCTAGGCTGAGGTGCAGGACTGGCGTTCAGCTTAGGTGCAAGGAAGAGGGAGGTTGAAGAGATAAAATTATTTTTAAGGCCTGGTATTTCCACAGGGTGAAGATAAGTGGTGTTAGCTGGGTAAACTGCTTGAGGGTGGATTTGGAGGTGATACAACCTGCTGACCTCAGTGTTAGGGGTGACATTAAATTAGGATCTAGGACCTCAAGGCTGGAGGATATTCAACACCCAAGTAAGTGATGGTGTGTGTGGTTGCATTCCCAGCTGGTGGATATCCAGTGTGGTTATGGCCCAGCCTCAGAGAAGCTGCTAGGTAGTGTGTGTTCCTCAGCTGTGGATACATACAACAGCAACATATGAAGAGTTGGTGTGAGAAACTTTTAACGAGGTTTTGAAGGCAGTAATTAGGTCACAGCACTGAATTTAAAGCTAGGATGTTATCTGCAGTTTGGGTTGAGTTGGAAGGGAGTGGAAGAGCCAAGTTTCATGTCAAGACCAGAAGGGAGAAGGCCCATGAAACTAAAGGAAAGGCCAGTGTTGGATGGTGATCTTGAGGTGGTTGCTAACACCTTAACTAGGGCTGAAGCGAGGGTAAGCGCTCAGGCAGTGGGCAAGTTGTTTTGTAACTCTCTGAAGATCATGCAAGGCACAAATGGGAGTTTCTGTTTGCAAGCAGTCGTCTTTAGTTGCACTGAACTGGAAATGTGATTATTGTGCATGTCTTGCCAGGGTAAATGTTATGGTTTTCAACAGGGTTGAAAGTTATTGTAAGACTTGTCCAACTCTGTGGGGCTAGGAGGGAGGCTGATGACAACAAGTGGAATAAAAAAGAAAAACAGTAGTTTGGAAATGTGTGTCAGTCTTTATGAAATGCATAAAATTAGGTCTGGAGTCGGGGTCTTGACTGACATAAGATGAACCCAAATGAATATTGTTAACTCTCACAAGGTTTCTGTGTCAGCTGGTGAGCTGTACAGGCGCAGTTTGTCCTGAGGCTGGCAAGGATTATTGGAGTGTGGCTAAAATTAGGGGTAAACGTAAATTATGGGTTTGAGAAAGTGTTGAGTAATCAGGTCAGATTTTTGTCAGTCCTTATGATGCTTGCAGTGTAAATTAGATGACTGAAGGTATGGAAGAGGTCTGTGCATCCGTGATTGTGTGGAGAAGGGAAGCATATAGAAATTAAGGTTTATCAAATGAATCCAAGAGGAGACGGGATCAAAGGAAGCCAAGGAGGTGGATTGCAACAAGTAGTTGAGCTGGGGAGTTCCTTCTTGCAGGATGCTGTGGGTGTGCTGAAAGTTTATGCAGGCTCAAAGAGAGATTTGCCAAGTTAAAAAAAGAAATCCAAGCTACTAAATATGCAGAAACTACATCCAACTTGGGGACATCATGATAGCTAGAGACTGGAAAAAAATATGTTCTTATATGCTTTGCTTGGCATTAATTTTTGGTCACTGCTGGGAGGATCCTGATCTGGACAGACCTTTGGTGTGGCCCAGCTTGGCCTTAGTACATGACTATATGTAACCTATCTCCAGTCTCAGACAACACAAACATATAAATTAAAGTAGAGAAATAATTATTTAACCATTGGAAGACAAAATATGCTGAAACAGTGACAGGTTTTGGTCTTTAAAAAAAAAAAAAAATCATTTGTTCAGTATACTCACTAAATTGCTGTCCTTAAAATTACAACTGAATGGGAATGCAGATAAATGCTTTGGAAGTCAGAATATGAATGTTTCAGTTCCTGCAAGGTACTGGATTTTTCTAATATTCCCAGATACCTTAAAATTTACAGTGACATGAATGAAAGCCACATTTCCACGTGCTTTATTGTGTTGCTTGGCAAGGGTGATCTGAGAAGATGAAATCTGTCCATCATTCCCTTTCTCAGCAGAGGCAGAAATTAAGGTGTTGGGAATCCTGCTATTTGTAAGCCCTGCCATTAGAGGCTGTTCATACAGGTTGTTGTACGCTACAGAAAGGACATACCTCGTCCAGTGACCTACCTTAAACAA